CTCTCTCTCTCTTTCTCTTTCTTTCTTTCTTTCTCTCTCTCTCTCTCTCTCTTGCATTCTCTCTTGTCGCAATAAGGCTCGCGGTGCAACCGATAGACCGAGATCGAGAGGGGTCCCCACGTGTCGGGAGAGTCTATCGACTGGAGTCGATAATAAAGTAGCCCTGAGTAGAAGTCTATGTACGTTGGAATATTTTTTATTTTTAAGGAGCAGCCAATTATTTTCATTCTTTTTTAAAAATTTATCATTTCTTCCGTTATATTAAAAACAGTTCTCAAAAAATTCGTTTCAACAATTTACGCGTAATCTAATCTTCTAATTTAATTAATATTTAATTTAAAAAATATCTTCACAAAATTGCAAGTAAATTTGTTTTAAATAATTTAATTTCTTTTTGGTACTTACCTCATTAGGAATCGAACGATCAGAATGGTGGGCCGAGTTTCTTCAGCTTCCTTAGCAGTTCCGGTTTTGTAGCCAATGCCTTGTGGATAGCCTCAATCAATATTTTAGTTTGATCGTAGGGCGGAAACGGCATACCCTCGAGATTGTAGACGTAAACGGTGCCCTCGACATCAGCAATCACCAGCTGATTCCCATTCGCCGTAAAATCAACGGCGATCAATCTCGCTCCGTTTGGTGATACGGTCACGGATGTCGGAGTATGCGTTTTCCTATAAATGTCCCAAACGCAAATCTGGTCGTTCACGACACTGGCGATGATGGTGGAGCACGTAGGACTCCAACAGGCGTTCCTTACGCACGCCATCGCTGTCGACAGGGTGATAAGCGGCTCAGCGATACTCTCGGCCCAGACTCTGATGCACCAATCGGCGCCGCAGGTCAGAAACAACTTCTGACAAAAGGGTGAGAACTCGAACGAGTAAATCGGACCGTCGTGCGCCAGAAAACTGTCTATGTGCTGACGCAAGTAATTTGTGGAGCATCGATAGACGCAACCTTCGTCGGAGCCGACGAAGTAAACGTTGCTGACGATGGGATGTCTTCGAAGAATGAGAGCACCCGGTTGGCGGCTGATGGGCACGTCGTAAGCCACGCAGTGATCGGTTCTAGAAACCCCGGCTAATTTACCTTCGATTCTATACAGGCGCATGATCTCTGTAGCAAAAAAATCTTCACTCAAACGATAGCAGTATATCCTGCCGTCTTGATCACTGGTATAGATCTGTTCTTGGTAGTCAAATTGTTCGTCGCCACTCCACCACTGAACCTGATGGAAAAATTAAATATTGTTGGTCGAAGTTGCAGTTCGTAGAGTTCATAATTAATAAATAAATTATAAACAAATTAAGTTAGGAGCAAACTAACGAGCTTATTTAAACAAAGATGATAAACGTTTTTTATTACAACAAAATTTCTAATAGCGATAAGCATTATACATAAAAAAGATCAACGCTAGACGTGATATATGTTTCAACTTAAATTGATCTTTTTCAGCCACTTTAACGAATAATAATTACATATAAAATATTACAAAATAAAAAATAATTTAATACGTTGCATCCTTAGAGTCAAATATGATAAGGATGTACTACCAATCTAGGTCGAAACATATACGTTTAGCGTAGATCTTTTTTATGTATAATGCTTTTGTTACAATTAGAAATTTTGTTTAAATAAATTATATATTCCTAAATTGTATATAATACATTTTCTCATATTATCCAAAATTAGAATGATAGTGCAATAAATAATATTCTTACTTGCCAATGTGGCGAACAAGCTGCCGATGTCTCCCTATGACTCTGCCTGATGACGTTCACTTCCTTCGCGCTAACATCAATAACTTTCAAACTTCCGTCATAGAAACCAATCGCCAGAAGATTCGGTCGTTCGGCACTCCAATTCATGTCGGATAGTGGACTGTCGAAGGTGTACTCGCGGCCGGGTTGGCTAGGATTCTTGGCGGACCAGATCAACAACACTCCGTCGATCTTGTCGGCACCAGTTTTGGCGCCATAGGCAACAGCGAGGACGCTCGCGTTAGCTGGACTCCAACAAAATGCGGTCACAGGACGATCGTGCGCTATTTCGCATGCGAATGTCCACAGCAGATCCAATCGATAATCAAATTCCAGATTCAGGTCGCACGGATCGCGTTTGATTAAGCCAGTAAATCGCTTTTGTGCCTCCGCGAATACATTGTTCGCGATTATACGTTCCATTACGCACGCCGCATCCAGGAACCCTGTCTCCCGACAGATACGAGACAACTGCTCCTCAGGGCTTTGATCAGGGACTGTTTCAGGTTCGGGAAGCTTATACCGGAGTTCCTGTCAAAAAAATACAATGGAAATCTCTTTGGAATCGAACTCATAAAAATAATTTTCTATGTTTATTTATTTATTTATTTATTTATTAACGAATACTATTATCTTCTGAAATATCAAACATTTAAGAACTTTAAATCTTTAATCTTTAATTCTTCTTTTGACTCATCCTGCATAAAAGATATTTCATGTTTATTATTTCAAGCCTTTTTTAAATATTTAAAGATTCTGATAAGTTAAATTAATTTTTAGTTTATAAAAGTAATATGTCAATTTTTCTATTATATCCATGTATATACAATTATATTTCTTTCTTTTACATTTAAACTACAATGGAAAGAAAATTACTTTAATTACTTAGAAAAAAAAAAGTTTGTAAACAGATACACGATTCTTACCTGAGCTTCTCGCATCCGCCACATTGATTCTTTCGTGTGTACAATCATACGTCCATTCTTCTCTATCATCAACTCCGGTGCCGCGTAAGTATCATGAATTACCCAGTTGTTCACAAACATCCCTTGATTTTTGCGGAGTCTCAGGCCGCAGTAAGTGCCACGCGATTTTGTCAACACGCGTATCGTCTGCGTCTCGACGTTCAACAGCTTCCGATCAGAGCCCGGTCCTACCGTTACATACTCGTAATTCTCATTTTCCCGTACAATCGCTTGCCCTTCGGGCGTCTGCAGATCCTCGGTCATCTGCGGCATCTCGAACACGAAGAACGTTTGCGTCTCTCTTAAAGTGATCGTCACAGCTTCCGGACGCGTCGCGAATATTGCCGAGTCGTCACTGTAAATAAACATATGTCCGCATTATCGTAACCTATCATTTAAATCCAAATTACATATAAATTTCTATAAAATTCCGTAATGTTCCACAATTAAATTTCTACAGCTTGAAAATTTAATAATCGAAATAACACAATAATAAATGACACCTGTCATTACCTAGGTAGGAAAAAGGGCGACGGCGCGGCTTCTTCGACCTCCTCCGTAGGCACAAATTCGCAAATCTGCGTCGACAGCAGACTTTCCATCTGCAAATCATCGGACGTTATCGAGAAGGACTTGAGGAGGATGGAGGAACTGGTCCTGAGACCGCTGACTCTCGAAGGAGAGGTCATCAGTTGGGAAGCGCTCCCGGTCTGGAATAACCCGATCGTCTCCAAAGCGGTCGTCTGGTTCTCGTCGATGGTGCTAAAGGCTGCGTGGACCAACGGCTTCGGCGTGACGTCCACGTTCTCGTGAATGACCCGAAAGGCTTGTCGTTGTTGAAGAAGCGCCGAGGCGACATTCCGTTCGCATCCCGTCTTGCGGACTCGTCCGAAAGCGCCGAGCTTTATCCTGGACGAAGTAACGCTGGGAATTCTGGAGGATGTCCGTTGCGGCGATTCGAAGTCGCCGGTTTTCATTTTGCGTCTTGCGAACGATAAATAAAGTTGCACAGAGCACAGATTAAAAAAACTTTTGGAACAACGTTTGGGACTATAGTTAAAGACCCGAGTGCGGTTGAAAGCTTTTACCGCCATTTATTTTCGTGTTTCCAAGGAGACTGCTTGGAAACGCGGAAAATGGCGGTAATTTAATTAATTTCGAATGTAAAAGAAATTGAAAGAGAAAAGAGTGAGAAATTATATTTTATAAAAAAAAAGTAAAGAAACATACGCCAAATACGTAAAAAAATTTTTAAGCTTATATGAAGGAAACACAAGTCCAAAAAGACAAAAATTTGTATATTTTTTCATAACTTATAAGCAAATTTTTTTTTATAATTAGTATATTGTTTATTATTAAATAAATTACATATATTGCAATATATGTAATTTCCATTTTTTATTTTATTGAATTCATATAGGGTGTTATACTTATTTAAATCAAAATTGAGAGAGTGAATTATCTTATTATATTTACATGGAAAGATTTTGAAGAATTTCCACGCAGGCCGTGATGTTTATCGTATAACAAAGTTAATAGAATATCCAACGAAATTTTTCTGTTATCATTAGCACCGACGAGATACAGCTGTTAAAGACCGCCAGCCCTGGGTAAATTTTCGTGCCAGCCCGGCGGGCCCGGGTGGGTAATTGCAGAGTGTCGGTATTATCGACTTTTGGTAGATAATATTATCCGGAAGATTGAAAATCAGCCAATCAGGATGAAAGGACTAACGCTTTCCGATTGGTCAGTCTAATTCCCTCTTAGCAATCAGTCCTCAATGCGCGTTTTCTCTGATACGGCCGATACAGGCTTAAGGAAGCTCGGTGCAGCTGTGCTGCTCTACGTGCTACACCTGGACTCCTGGAGCATTTTTTTGTCGTCCCCCCTCCCCCCGCGCTCCACACGCTATACATAGCGTACGTACTTCTACGTAATATTCTACTGTGATCAATAAGATTACTTGAGATAGCGTAGCGATATGTCGAAAGAAATGTAAGATCTACGCGCGGTGCGCGTAGGTAGAGGCGATGCGAGCGAAAGGAGAGAAAAGAAATTGTGTGTGTGGTATAGGGAAGCGTGAAGGTGGCGGTGGAAGCGGGGGGGTAGGGATGGCGGCGACAGTGATGTGGTAACAGCTGTAGCTCCAAGCTCTTGGAAGGATTTTCGATCGAACGAAATCACATTAGTGGATTTTTTTTCTACGCAGCCCCGCCGTGGAGTCGTGCCGCCCGTGTTTGGTGTTTTGGAGTAACCGGAGTGTCGCGTCCCAGGCGCGAGTCCGCGAATGTCCGCGAGACGCACGGTGGCTGCGGTGTGTTAAAGAGTTATTAATGCGCAGCGCGAACGCGTAACGGGCTATAAATGTGATCGGCCGAGAATTCGTACACAACTTGTGACGCGCGCCATGTCGCGCGTTCCCAGCTGATCTCACGTTTGACATAACGCAACGTATATTCCCGCGGACGTGTTTCTACGGTCCCACCGAAATTGCGTATAATTACGGAGAGAGGATATAACGCGCCGCTCCTTTTTCATGCGTGATTCGCGGCCGTGATTCAGTAAAAGTCCTCCGAACTTCGTCGAGAGAGGAAAGAATGGCGGAGCTGGATGACTTATTTCACACGGATCAATATGTAGGCCCGGAGCGACTTACCGATTTGTGCTACAAACTCATCTGCGAGAATCTCGACATTATCTCGGTAAAGGGTAAACGCGGCCACCGAATACTGCGGAAGGGGATAGCCTTCCCGAGCGAGATATGCGACAAGATTATCGAATACGCGCAGCGCAGCGAGGCGACCGAGGACGACGATTGCTTCTTCTCAATCTTCAAGAATCTGGCGGCGACCCGACTGAAGCGCGTCAAGATCTCCAACTGCAGCCTGACCGACACCTCGGTCCAGACCCTTGTCAACCACAAACTCTACGATCTAGAGCTCACCGATTGTAGCAACGTAACGGAACTCTCGATCGAGCATATTAATGCCAATTCGGAGAATTTACACAGTTTAGCATGTCATGGCACTTCGATGATCATACCTTCTAGTTTAGTAAATTCCTGTAAGAGAAATCACTATTATTTACATATTCTGCAGTTTATCCTAACGAGTGAATTGTTTAAACTGTCTGTTAACCTCTCTTTGTTGTAGCCTTCAATTACTACGAACGAGGATATGTTTTTAATACGCCAAATTTAAAACGACTGGCATTAGCACACGTAGGAATATTTACTACAGCAGAATATTTACTGCTCCTAGCGGGATTGAAGAATCTGACGCATCTAGACTTGTCCAATAGTTGTAACATTTACACTTTCGAATTTTATCATCTGGTACCAAATTTAGTATCCTTAACTTTGTACAACGTTAAGGTCAATACCGACCCAAAACCTTTTGTCAAGAACATCTGTCAATTGAAGAGTTTAAGGTATATACGTCATAAAGTTTCGATTATAAATAATATAGTTTTAAACTTTATTTAGAGTTGTTATAAATTTTTTTAGAGCATGCAAATATACTAAACGATACGTAAAACTTAAACAATATAGATTTACATGGAATATATTTTTACAGGCACTTGGACATTTCTCAGTCGAGTCATAAACAGGGACAATTTGATAATCCCAATAAAGTCCTGTCTGACCTAGTAAATGGTTTACCCCAGTTGGTTTCTTTAGACATCGGTGGTACAAATCTTGCGGGAAGAGGAGTAGCTGAGCGTCCCACCGATATGAATATCGAGCATACCTATTTCGGGCAACTTTCCGATATACCAGGACTAGCATCTAGGATACATAAGCCATTACAATTTTTAGGACTTTACGGAACGGCACACGGTGCTTGCAGAAGACACGATATACCGGCAAAAGTGGTGAGATATATACGAGATGTTTCATAATTCGCGTCTACTAATTATACAGCGTTAACTGAAAAACAAGTTGAAAATTTTTAAACTGTTTTTGTTTTTTGCTGCCTTGTTGCAGTAAATTAGGGAAAAATATCTTTTATTTATCTATTTATTTTCTCACGGTTTGGATTAGGTGGCTGGTGACGCAAATGAGGATCAAATATTGATCGCCGCTCATGTTTGTATGGACAATAAACAAGAACTACTGCAAAAAGTATTGAGCGATTTATATCATGTATTTAGATATGAAAATTGTCATAGAATGGATCAAGCGTTGTATACTGTCTTGGAAGCGATGGAAAAGCATCCAGCTCAGAAGCATATACAGATATCGGGGAGGTAGGCGCGCATTCTGTAATTTTATAAATTGTCCATTACCAAGAGAAGCAACTGCGCAATATTTGAGAAAGTCTCGTTAGACTTACGTCGACAATTGTAACTTTAATTTTATATCGCATATTACAGCGCCACGTTATTCTACATAGTAAAGATGAAGGAAAAGGGTGAATTAGTAGCGCGAATGAAGAGAAGGATTATCAGTACTCTCCTCGCTGGTATGAGCACACATAGAGACGAAGAGACTATGATGCGGAACGGTTGTTTGGCATTGTGTCAATTCCGCATACCACACGATGTGGTTTGTATTTTCAATTCTTTTTTAAATTTTGCATCGCCACCTAATAAAATATTATCTTTGCATGTTAAAAATTCTATGCATATATCAAAATTATTGTTTTAATAAAAAGAAAAATTACGTTTTTATTTATTGAGATTTACATTTAATTTGAGATAATAAAAGAAAATGTATATATATTTTTTAAATATAACTATCATTTATTTCTGTAGATGTCGAATTACGAAACCCTTGTGAAGGTGCTTCTACATTCAGCCAAACACTCGGAACCAGAAAGTTTTGTTCAGAGAATCGGAATATATTTACTAAACTCTTTAGCTTGTCAAGTGGAAGGTAAAGAGAAAAGATTGCTCGGCAAGTTGGGTTGTGTCAAGACTATGTTGGAATTGGTAGAATACAGGGTGGAAACAAATATATTCGACGATGTATTAGAAGTCGCATGGTCGACTATGTGGAATATGACAGACGAAACGTCTATAAATTGTCAACGATTCTTAGATGAAGAAGGCATGACACTTTTCCTCAAATGTGTACAGGTTTGTTTTACTGTATATGTTCGGCTATGGTTGCTACGCAATACAATTTATTATTAATTTAATTTAAAAGCTGTAATTTTCATATTTTTATTACAATACTTTTTCGTGTGTCTAGCAATATCCGCATAAAGAAGAACTGTTGAGGAATATGATGGGTTTGCTCGGAAATGTGGCAGAAGTCGAATATCTTCGAATCCATCTTATGCAGGAACGATACGTCACGGTTTTCGCCAATCTGCTACGTTCCAATAGCGATGGAATTGAGGTTTCGTATTTCCCTTTTTCATTTTTTTTTTGTTATTGTAAATTATTCACTTCAACTAACTCGAGCATTTTTTACTATCTAAATTTCTAACGTGCTCACAAATGGATATATTTCTCAAATTATATTAGGTACCGTACAATGCTGCTGGCATTTTGGCACACATGGCATCTGATGGCGTTGACGCTTGGACAATAGAAAAGCCAACTCGTAAAGAGGTCCTTAAATACATGGTGCAAGCGATCGAGAGCTGGGACTTAAATGCAGAACGTAATATCAATTATCGATCGTTTGGACCGTTATTGCGTCTGCTGGATGTGTATCATACTCCTCCATGTCAACATTGGGCTGTTTGGGCTCTCGCTAATCTTACCAAAGTATACTGTACGTATACTGCAATATTATAATTTTCATACTTGTGTCGAATTTTTTAAGTATCCACTGCTAAAGTATCCTTGCTCCATTGCGTTTCTCGCTATTTTACGATATGATTCGACATGTTTTTAGCATTCAAATACTGTGCATTAGTAGTGAAGGAAGGAGGACTGGACAAGCTGCATACGGTGATAGCAGATCCTAGGCCATACGAACGTATAAAAGAACTCGCAAACTTGGTGATTGAAAATTGTTGTCAATACGAGAGCCACTCCGACGATGTAAATGTGTCTCATTCCGCCTTGGACGCGGAATATAGTCTGGATGGTTAAAAAAAGATCTTAGTAACGTCATTATGCACGTCGCATAACTTATATCGTCTCTTTAGACAAAACAAATTATAACTAGTACTATTATTTGGACCGATAATAGCGAAGGAATAATTACATAGACGAGTCAGAAGAAAAAAACGATCGAACGTGTTACTACATTAACTTGACAATAGATCTGTTCTTTGTAGTTGCGCTATATGTCATACTTTCTGCACTTACAATGAAATAAGTACATAATTAGACGGAGAAAAAAAAGAGAAACGAGATGAAAAGTACAAAAAGTTTGGCTACAAAGAGCAAATCTATTGTTTTTGACAAAAAAAAGCGGAAAGGAACGAATGCTCAATATTACAATTACAAAGGTTGTGTATGCATGCGTGCGTGCGTGCGTATTTGTTGCTTCGTGTGTGCGTGTGTGCGTGCGTGTGGGTGTGCGGGTATGTATGACGATTTGTATGGAGAATACGAAGTATTTTGAAACGAATATTCAATTATCCGCAAATATTCATCTTATACATTATTGCCGATATTAATTAATGGTGAACTGACCCGAGAATCTTTCAGCCGATATACATACGGTGTCACAAATGTCTTGCCACACTTACGATATTCGTATTACTTCGAGCGTGTTCGAGCAGGTAGCATCATGTCTAGATATTTATGCATCGTGATTGCTTGATCAAAATATTAAAAAACAAATTTTTATTGTTAAAAACTGATTGATATGAGTTATTATTTATTTTTAATCTTATGTGTTTGTTCTTGTGTATGTAAAACGCAGATGCTAAGCTCAAGTAGAATTTTGAACGATGCATTTGTCACGCCGTGTGTTATATGTATGTATGTGTATATATATATATATAATACGCTTTTAATATACATATATAGTCGAGCCTTCGCATTCTTGTCTGAGCATCCTTATTCTCAATCGTCAAACGATTAGTGTGAAATCGCGAACATCCGTGGATATGATAAAAGAATAAATAGGGAGTTTGTCAGATTAAAAGTAAGAAGGTACGACTTTAAAAAAAAAAAGGCGAAAACGAGTAATCGCAGCTAAGGCTTGCACGCTTATTATATATCTATCTTTAATCTTATTGACTTTCATACGATATGTGGATGTCTCTTTAGTCTTTCTTTTCTCTTCTTCCCTTATTTCTCCCTTTCTTATAGATAATAATAACGTAGATAATTCGTTTCCATTATACTAGGATTTTTCCAACACAAGGACGTGACAGGCTTAGAAGAATTTTGCGTGTAAATAGAATTACATACGAAGGAGCAGTACATTAGATTTAAATGTTTTGTATGTTTATCGTTATATAATTACTATTAAAATCCCCTGAGAAAATTAACTCTATCGATTAAGTCCTATATGCAGTCAAACGTATATACTTTTAACGAATTTCCAGATTTATCTTTTTCATAGATTCTCATTTAGCAGCAAGAATGCGCGGAGAAATAATTATAGCGATTATTACCAACACTAACGTAATGTGACAATGTAATCACATAACGTATCAATGCATACCCGGTTTGTTCGATATATAATATAGTATTATCAAAAATCATAATGAGAATACGTGCTTTATTCTCTTTTCTATCCTTGTTTTTTTTCTATTTGTGTAAAAAACATTGCGATTACAGATTCAATGACGCAAAAGATTATTCTAATTAATGATAATAAAACAATATATAGTTGCAAAATAATGTAACATCAACATGATTTTAAATAATTATATGAATCAATGATAATAATTTCAAAATCAATAATTATAATTTAATAATACATTTTTAATTTATCAATACTTGTAATATATTATTTTGTTAACACAGAATTATTAATTTCTTGTTGCTAACGTACGAGCAGAGCGAGACCGAATTCTGAATTATGTCGGCAGTCGGTAATATGATATCATATGGACTGTATGTACACTCGAAAGCGTTCTTCATTGCAGATGTGACATTTTTCAATTGCAGAAGTTTTGCCTGGAATTTCGCAAAGCTTTGCTTTTCTATAATTAAGATTGATGCCTCGGCAATTTCGATAACGACGAGAGCAACGAATATAGTTTGAAATTTTGCTCCGAACAATTATGCCATTTGAATCTTATATTTTACGATTATCTGAAAACGATCTCTTAAAGTTATATGTGGTCATTTCATTAGAATCTCCAATATATGTATTTGAGACGAATATAAAATTTTGGACTATGAATCGCTTTATAATTAGCTTTATAATTGCAGATTCACGCTAATCGTGACGTCCAATTGCGTGCGGCGCTTCCAATAGCCAATAGAAAGATTCGTATTCCAGGAACGCAACGTGTGTCTTCGGCCGGAGTCCCTAGGAAATACGTTCTGCCATTGGATGTCAAACGCAACACGCGAGTGTTGAGTGTTCTCCATTTACATTCGTGGCTTGCTTGGGAGCTGAGACGCGTATATACCGAAAACGTGCGTGCCGACTGCCGACATTTTATTTCGTGGTTGCTCGATGAATGAATATATCTCGTTTGCTCTGGCCTTGCGCGTGTTTTTTTGGAATAGACTCGCGATATCGTCGATCGAGGTGGCCGAGGAGGCTTAGACCTAGGCCTAGTTGGGCCTAGTGCGAACCTAGTCGAGAGGTCGGCGGTCGTAGTTGTGCTCTTGGCGTTGGCGTGTGTAGAGTCGAGGAAAGTCGGAGGTTGCGGAGTTTCCACGGCGACTCGCCCAGGTAAGGGTTTCCTATGTTGCGCTCGTCGAGGCGCGAAATAGGGCACCGAAAACGCGCCCATTGTCTCGTCGAGTCGTGTAAACGCGAGATTATCGATCCGTTTATTGACCCCCGTTCGCCTCTTACGGCGAACAATGTTCCCCTGGAGTATTTCGCGTAAGGGGCATGGGTGTACCTCGCTGATTCATGGCGCGACACCGTCGTGTGTCACTCGCGACGCTCGGCGCGTCGGGAATGTCGGGATTTCGTCGACACACCGTTCGTAATCGTGCTTTTTCCGATTTTAGTCTTCCCCCCTTTTTTTTTCTCCTCGGAGAGATAATCGATCTCGGTAGCGGATTTTACACGAATTGCGTCATTCGAGATTACGACCGTGATTCGCGATTGCTAGCTTGAACCTGAACCCGAACAAGCGACCTGTAATCGCAGAGAGAGACTACCGGATGTATGTTCTCCCACGAATGTAACTCATGCCACATGTGTTGTACAAAATAATTTCTTTTGTTCGTAGAGTATTGACGCTGTATCCACTACAGCCCCATTTCTCTTTCTCTCTCTCTCTGTCTCGCACATCGATAAGTTGCAATCATGAGCTATGGTTACAACAAATACAGGTTGGTAATGTACATACGTTTAATCACATGGGGTTTTACATTTGCGTTTCGACAAGATCGATAAATTTATTTTGGTGGCACAAATTAAAAATTATATTATTAAATTATAATTATTGATATTTTGATGGAGCATCTTGCACTTCGCGCGATTTTAATATTGCCACGAATTTTTTACAATTTTACAATTTTGTTGATATATATACTTGCGCATAAATACCTTGATTTGCATGTCAAAAAGGAGTTAATTTTTTTTGTTTTGACACAAGACTTCAAAATTCCAAAAACATGGAGAAAAAGGATAAATGGCGGTATGAGCGTAACGAGAAATGTCTTTCTCGGTTTCTTTTATAGCTCCACCATGAGTTCTCGTGGTCGCGGATTTAGTTCTCGCGGAGGGGGTTCTTATAGGGGTCGAGGTGGCGGCGGAGGAAACGAGTGGAATGGTGGTTCAGCAGGAGGAAATATATCTGGCAGAGGAGGATATTCATCTTCCAGAGGTGGCAGATTTAAATATTCGACGACGAGCTATGATTCTAGATCTAAATATAATTCAGGTAATAAATGCGTTAGATTTTTAATGGTAAAGCCAAATGATTGTTTGAAAAAAAAAAACAGAACTAAGACTGTGCTCCATTCAGCTACAAATGTTTCCAAGCGTTTGATTGGCCAAGAAAAAAAATCTCTGCTTTAAAACACAGCCCAATGGAGCTCAGCCCAGGCTGAGTCATGATTTGTAAAATTTCATAATTTTCAAATTAGACATCCCCCAAACGAAGTAAATGAACAATATTGTAATTGTGTTGATTGTTATTTTCTTTATAGGATCGGAAAGATATTCAAGCAGAGGTGGTCGTGGTGATCATTCAAACAGTTATAAAAGACCTCGTGTAAGACTACAGATTGATATTATAGTAAACTATTGGAAACATTTTTATGACATTAGTGTACTAAAATGTTTCTTTATTTTTTTTTTTCAGGATTCATATTCCGCTAGGGATGACCATCGATCATCTAGCGAGTCAACACGTAAAAGGATGAGAAGCGATTCTTATCAGGTATATATCCTACTCTATCTCTCTCTTTATAATCTCTTTTATCCATTTCTCTGTTTCGTAAGATGATTAATAATTTAAGAGTTATAGTACGAACAAAGTTATAGTATGACATCAATATACAATTCTGTACAATCATATTTCCCTAACTGAATTTCCATAATGAAAAATTTCTTTCTATAGAAGATTCAAATATTATCTTTTGTATTGTAATTGAGAACGATGGTCCTGAAAGTTTGTCACTTATAATGTAATTATTCAGAATGAGTTAGACACAAAGGAATATTAAATAATTTCAGGACACTCGTATATAAAAAACAATTGGTATGGTTTAGATTGAAACATTCATAAGTTATCATACTTTCCTTTCAAGCAACGCGAACCAACGGCTTCTCGAACACTCGTTCTTTTTGCGTTGGGGCGCTACTGCGGTGGAACGCTACAAAAACGTCAAATTATTAAAAGATGAATCGTTAAAAGATGAAATATACCTAGATGGTATTTACGATATTGCCCGCTGTCCGCATAGATTCTATTAAAGTCTGCGAGCTATTTGAAGTCGATGGAAAGTCGAATGGATAGACGTACGTGCGAGTTGCATCATGTTATTTCCCGTTAGAGAGCGATAAGCGCAATTATATCGATTTATTGTGCAGTAACGTTGAGAATAGAGAGATTGTATAGAAAAATAACATACAACGTCCTCAGGCATCGCCTTATGACACATGGGATTTTCATGAAATATATCATCCATAGCATCGTGTAATCAATTATCTAAATTATCAAATGCTAAATTACAAGAGCACAAATTTTGAATAATATTTAATATATTCGTAGACCTTTCCAATCGTACTGGGACACGTTTGTCCTTTATTGACTTTACGTTAAGCAAAAAGGGAATTAGGAAAGAATTAATCTAATGTATGCATATCCCTGCAGTATGATGGAAAATACTTGGCATGCATGGTACATGTGGGGGAGACGAACGCAAAATGGATATATATATATGGATGTATATGCCTATACATAATATTGTTTAAACTATCTAATTACGCAACCATACGCACAAACATTTACAAATGATTACATAGCGACGGCTTTCTTCGTTACTTTCATTCGATTATCATCCTCGTGTAAATGAAAGATTTGACATATCACGCCTAATGACAGATAATTCGACTAAGTTGGAAAGGTCTATCGAGAGCATCATATGTATTACATATATATATATATAGATGCATCATTGAGTGGCACGATAGAATTTGTTAGCTCGAGGAAAGCGAGCGCTGCTACTACTCCCAAGATTGCAAATATGAACAAGATTAGTACATTTTTCGCACGATTACGCGAAGTCACGTAATAAGGCAACGAAAAGGCATTTAGGGATTCGTAATTATTTAGGGAAAATCAAATTATATGTCTGTATCTAGGTATATACAATGAGCATAGAGTAATTGCAATTATTAATCCCATATGACTGAGACGGTCACGACACTGAACTATTTTAAACGATTAGCACTGCATGCACGTGATAACCGGATGAAAAATGCAAATGGATTTGAAAACTGAAAATAAAAACATATCAGTTAATTATTATATGCCGACAATTGTGCAGTTAATCGATCAAATTTTTTAGTCGATTGAGTTTAGTCAGTTAGCCATTTAGTCAGTCGATCAATCCATCAATCGATGTCAGTCGGTTAGTCACTCGATTAGCCCAGTTGAACAGTAGCAATTCAGAGTTAAACAGAGTAGATATGTACATGTGTGTGTATGTGTAGAAAGATCTACGAGAGATAAAAACGGTAGGAAAGGGAATAAAAAGGGGAGTGAAAGGATGTATGTGCGTAAGCACACATACGTGTATACTTACATGTAAATATACATACGTGCGTAGAATAAAATATATAAGAGAAAAAAAAAACGAGCAGGAAACGAAACAGAAAGAAAGAAATGCATGGAAGGAGCACAATTAAATTTGATTTGGCAGGGTGGAGGTAGCGGTAGCGGTTCACAGAGGTATTCGTCGTACGGTTCATCTGCGTCGGCGCCCTATGACGATAATAAGGGATCGTCGTCGTCCGCCGTATATGAGGACAAGAGACAGAGCGAGCGCGCGTCGTCGTACCACCGTTCCGAGGACCGTCATTCCGCCTCGCGGAGCTATGTGCCCCCGCCACCCCCTCGGATTAGCGAAATGGCACCGCCGCCGACTCAGAGATACACCTCGAGTCGTGGAAGAATATCGCATCAGAGCTCGAATTACCGAGGTCGCATTTCGACCCGCGGCACCGGCGGTAGAGGTGGTGCGTTTCATCGTGTGAGCTCTCGATCGGACATCCTCATGGCTCGCAAGCGTACTCTGCACTCGCTCGACTATCGTCGAAAGCTGCTAGGCTCACGCTCGCGAGACTACATCCAGCGTGTGCGCATGACTACTACCAAACTACGCAGGAGGTAATTTATTAATACAGTCTCACTTACCAAAAAAAAAAAAAAAAAAAAAAACTCGTACGCAAATATATTATCTTCGTAGCCTGTGCTTGAATATATTCTTCTTTGAGGTCGGTTCATGCAAACCGACTCTCGGTCGATGACCTGAGTGTCGCAAGACAACGATTTAAATGAAAGCGAACGAACAAATCACATGCGTGAATAAATGCCTAAGTAAATCGATTGATATAAATAGTCAAGATGCAAACGATCATGAAACAAACGTTCCGACTGCCGACAGAGAGAAAGGAGAGCTTTTTGCAAGGTTCTAAAATAAAGAAGAAATCAGTACGATGATACGTATAAACGCAATATGTACGTGTGTATGTGTGTATCATCAATACGCAATAGAATAACTTTCGATACGAGAGCTAAAATAATTGTACTTTACTCGTCATGAGACATAATTCTCTTTAGAGTTTATATAGCGGTACCCGACTATACTATTCATATAATATTTTTTGGCACGACCGAGAGTGTGCGAAGATGTCAAAACGCGATGGGAAAAAAAAAAAAGAAAAATGAATAATAGACACTTTTAGCGTACACTACGAAACGCATTTCACATTTTGGGACATAATGCCGAGATATTAAACCGATACTATCGCGATGTTTTCTACGTATCATCTATAAGCAAGTCTTGCTCGATGATACAACGAAAGACAAAGAAGCACGAAAACAGAATGCTGGAAAGTAATATAAGTCAAAACAAAATTGCTGTGTCATTAGTAGCGGTACTACTAGGCTACCCGGAAGTAAAAAGGACTCTGGATCCGGGACCAGCGTGAAGGACAAGGATAGAGAGATGGCCAAAGCCATTAACGCAGAATTTTCCGATGACGATGACGAAGAAGATAATAAGAGTAATTGGGACGACGAAGAAAAGGTAAATTCAACAGTGGCGTTAAACAAGACGCGTTATCAAACCTATCGTTCGTAATCGTGAATTTAAATATATTTATGTAACTCGATCATTGGACGAATGTATAACATAAAAATCGGGGATCATATTATATAGATTGTTTGAGTTACACTAATTAGTTTTTTCATGTACTAGAATATTAAATACATAATACAATATTTGATGGTTTTTTTTTTTTTTTTTTTAAATATGACACGTCTCTTACATGTTTGAATAATTTTGTGACATTGTCTATCAATATTGTGCAGCCGCACGAACGCGATGAAGAGGAGGACATGGAAGAAGAAGAGGAAAAGAAAAAGAAAGATGATAAACGTAAGAAGGAAAAGCAAGATAGAGAAAGGCAACACACCGAGGATGAGGAAGAGAAAGATGATGATATTAAAGAGGACGACGATCAGAAGCGAGAAGTGAGTAGTTTTAGCCCTATTAATACTTTATTTAAATTACTCGTAGTATAATTGTCGCTGCTACTGTTTTCTGTTGATTTGTTCTATCTTATTGGAGGAGGATGAAGATGACGATGGTGATGATGAGGAACATGACGAGAACGATAAGGAGGAGCGCGACAGAAACGAAGATTCTGAAGAATTGCCGAGTAGACGAGACGGTAGAAAATTCATAAAATTGAAGTGCCCGCACTGTGCCCATCACAGCGTTACGTTCAAAGAATATTCGCTCCATCTGTTCTCCGGTCGTCATAGCGCGGCGATGAAGCGTATTGCGGCTCGGCATAAGGTGACCCTTACGCGTATGCGAGTCGTTCAACGGCAGGAGCAGAGACATATCGAGGCTCGTGATGCAGCGCGCGGCACGCTACCCTCTCGCACTATGTTCTGTGCCATTTGCAAATTAAATTACCGCTCTTTGAAAGCTGCTCATCAGCTGTCTGAGTCTCATCGTCAAATGAAGCGATTCCTCACACCATTCTGCCGTGTTTGTCGTATCCAGTTCCGCTCGCCGATGTTCTTTGAGACACATATGTGCTCGCTGGAGCACATCAAGGTAACTCTTATATTTCGATAATCGTCGTTGATTTTTCTTGTACGATATGTATAATACAAATAGATTAACGGCGTTTTCTTTTATCTCTCTCAGAGAAAGAGTATACTGAGAGAAAGAATGAATGCAAATGGAAGCGGCGAAGCAGAGGCGGATTCGAGCGCGCCGGAAGAGGATGACAAGGAAGTTAATCTTGATAATTTTATGACTTTGGATTCCGTAGGTGACGTAGACGGTATGTCAACAAAAACATATACGAAGTATTCTCCTAATTTGTTCAAAATATCTCTTCCTCATGTCACACCATCATTGTTTGCAGAAGACGAAGAGTCGAATGACAAGAAGAAGGAAAAGGCCGAGGGTGAGAGTTCGAGCGAAGCAGAGAAGAAATCGAAAGGCAAACAAATGATAAAAGTCGGTGCGGAATACATAAAACGCGTCGAAGTGCAGTACTGCGAATTGTGCAAAGTATATCTGCCACGCAGTGAAAATACCGAGCGGGCAGTTGCTTTACATTGTTCTACTCGCAGTCATCTTAAACGGTATATCATATCGATGTTCAATAGGACAAGCAAATCGATAGGTAAGCTACAATTGGTACTTACACAATTGTACGTACGTTGCAGGTATGTGCGAGATAATGACGATAAGGCGCTTAGACGTCAAGCGGAAAGAATACATCTGCAGTCATCCTCAACGAATGTGAACTCTACCAATTCCACCGTGACCAATAATACATCGGACAACGCGAAGACTTCTCCTGTCAATTCCGAGCCACAAGTATCTGCTACGCCAGTGTCTTCTGCGGCCGATAACAATAGCGTTTGCGATACAGAATATATTAAAATTGAGGAAGAAAAATCTAATAGCCTAGAGTCTGAAAAGAATGCGAAAGACGGTAAGAATAATCAGGGGGATGAAGATGACGACGATTACCGCGCGCACGGTAGCGATAAAATTATTTGGGACGATGTCGACAAGGATTTAGGTGACATTTTAAGAGAAACCGAGGCGGGTGCGTCAAAATCGAGCGACGATGAGGATTCGCGTTACGATCGTTTTCGCAATTCGGACAAGAAACAGCCCGGAAAAGAAAAGGAAAATGAAAAGAGTGAGGTCCTCGAAGATAAGAGCGGTAATAATAAAATTAAAGATGTAAAGAATTAAAAGACAGATGTTACGTACATCGTCGAAAATCATCTTTTTTGCTGTACATCTTCAATTTATTTGATCCATTTTCTATTTTTAATTTTTCATTTTCTTCCGTGCTCGTTCTAATAACTGCTTTTATAGAATCATGCAATATACAATTTTCTCGGGGTATCTTTGTTTTAATTAAACAAAAACAATTTTTGTGCATAATGTATTACACAGTGTACGAATTATTTATTCATTACACGTTTCATTGTTTTTCGTATTTTCTACGGTTGAAAGTATGTGTTAATTATTTTATATATACATATATAAATAAAATAATTGGCACTTATTGTGTGTGTATGTGTGTGTATGTGTGTGTGTGTGCGTGTGTACGCATACGTCTCGTAGTTTGTCAATTTATGTAATTTCAACATTTAAGCATCATTGATATCAATCATATGTTGCCGAAAGGCTATCAGTGGCATTGCCCAAACAATATAATTATACATATACATGCGTAAAGTAATTAAATATACAAATTTCAATTTTCAGTTATTAGCGTGGAGGAAAGTGTATGCGTTTGATCAATGTGTGCATTTCGTGTAAGCACAATTTAACTATAGATTATCGATCATAATAAATTCCGCACTCTCTAGGATCAATTATATAATTTTTTTTTTATCAATCCTTTTAATCAAATCGTGATTTCAACAATTTATCGATTATTTTAATAAATATTCTGCAGATGAATTGTTAGAAGTATATGGTCTATACCAGTGTTCTGTAGCGTGTTATCAGAAATATCTATTTCCCATTCACTTAATGTAATCAAATTTCTTTGTAAGAAGCTCTAAGAAGCTTTTTTCGTCTGCAATTAACAATGTAGTACTTTATTTTGCAAATAAACAAAAGGCTAGAGACGCCCTGTTGTAAGGTCTTTTCTACTGAATTTCCGTCCCTATCGGGACAATTTATCATAATGATGATTAGTGATGTTTGATAAAATTTGATGACGTTTAACGTAATGTCACACAATTGTTTATGTTTTTAAATACATGTGTTACAACGAGATATAATATTTTTCCTTTTAAAATTCGCACGATTTTTCTTTTAAATCGCAATCAGAATGTATTTTGATAATTTATCGTGGACATCGAGAATTAGAGAAAACAGAATTGCGTAGCATTCCGGATTCCGATACACGAGTTGTGAAACCGATTACGTGTGCAATGACGTAGCTCACGCATGCGCGCGCCGCATCGAAGAGTCCGAAGACACCGAAGCGGTCGACAGACGGCTCGCGGCGAAGAGAGATTTGTCCTTCTCGATTCGCGATGCGAATGGAATGGATCGGTTGTCGAGCAATCTCTCTTGGCAATCCCTCGCTATTCACGTCCAACTGCCACGCAGTAAAGATCGAGTTTGGCCGCGCCGCGTTTCGCAATTCGCACTTGAAATTCATAGTAGTTTAAAGCCTTGAACACACTCTTATCGCAGTGTTTACCAAAACCGACGACGGATCGTGCGATTGCGCGGACGCGTGCGAGCCGGAGTACACGTTCCCGCGCGCGTGGTCTCTCAATTACGTCAAATCTCGGTCTCCCGGCGGCATCCCGAATAAAATCGCTCGTCTATCCGCGTGAGCGAATTTGATGCTCGACGTTGGACGATGGCACTGGCGCGGGGACTGCGATCGTTCTTCGTCTTGGGAACGAATTATGCACACAAGTGCATATCTAGTCAAGTCATCCTCGCGAGAACCGTGTCTACCATGCAACCGCTCTCCAAGAACAAAGAGTGAGTAACAAAAATTGGAACAATGATCGTGTTTTCTCTCGGTCAGGAGCGTGCGAAACTTCGACCGAGTTCGAATCAACTTGATCGGCGATCAGCTCGATCGGCAACATTTGTTTACAGCGAAATTTTTAATTGTACATATGTACTAATTCAGCGTCCTTAATCTAATCTCGCTTCACGTGTCGAATGTGACAAATAAGTAGTGACGACAATTCTGTTCACGTTAATAAAATACGTTGTTATACTTGACAAGTTAATTGACGACAATTGGATTTTGCTCGAAGTCGTTTTCAGTCGCTTTCTACTCTTAATTAACACCGTTAACATCTAAACAATTTTAGTACTGTTAAATGTTATTAATAACTTTCTCGTTTTGAAAATCTCGAAAAACGTTTCGTGAAAGCTGCTGTCAAAAAAAATCTCTAATATGATAAGAAATCTTAATATTTAAATACAAAGTTACAAATTGTTAGTTAGTATTGTGTCTTAACAACTTTAGCAATGCATTAACAATTAACAATTAATTAAAATTGTTTAGCTTTGCTAAGAATTAATTTGTGAATATTTAAGTAAGATTATATTCTTGTTAGTAAAGCGATCTAAATGAAATAATAAATACCAAAAATAAATATATGAATAAATACTGTACATATTTTTATTTAGGGTCACTGTAACGTTTGTTAAAGCCAATGGAGAGAGGATAAAAGCAAAAGGAGAAATCGGAAACAGTATTTTAGATATTGTTGTGAACAATGACCTTGACTTGGATGGTTATGGTATGGTTTTATGATTTATATCTACAAAACTTGCTTTATCTCTTAATAATAGTGAACAAATTTGTAACACAAAGCAATGTATTTTTCATCTTGAATACAGGAGCATGTGAAGGAACACTGACCTGCAGCACTTGTCATTTAATTCTTTCTCAGGAAGTGTTTGATAATCTTCCAGATAAACCTTCGGAGGAAGAGGCCGATATGTTGGATTTGGCGCAAGAGCGAGGTCCAACGTATGTTTCAAAAATTTATTTGAGCTGTTTACTTTCTTTTTCTTTCTTGTTAGTAGTGAGAAATGTTTTATATGCTAGTAAAAGATTACTATACGCGAGAGAAACATCGTCCAAATTTCACTTTGTAATGTCCTCTACATTTATTCATGGGTTATGACTTTCTATCCCCATATCCCCGAAGAATTTTGAATAAGATTTGTTTTAAGTAACAGCCTATCACAGTCAAACATCGTTCAATCTGTTATTCAAATCTGCTGTCTCTCAGTCTCTCCTTTCAACCGTTCTATTATACTTTTGCCCTTTAACATTTCTTAAAGCTTGCAGTAAACTTCTTTCATTTATTATTTATCGAATGTATATTTTTTTATTCGACACTATTTTAAATGTGTATATTTAATTATAGCTCGAGACTGGGTTGCCAGATAACCATGACTGAAGAACTAGACGGCATTGAAGTGAGAGTACCGACTACCATAAATGATGCAAGACAAGCATGATAATCCATTAATGTTCAATAAGGCGCTTAGATGATTATCTTAGATGCGGCTCCTTAGTTAGCGCAATTCAATCTAACAAGTCTTCTCAATACAATACATTTTTTATTATGTACATAGTAGCAAGAAATTATATTCAAAATTAAATTCAGATCTAAATATTGTAAAGATCCTTTGTACAATATTTTTTAAAGAATTGTATATATTACATGCATGATACATATATACATATACGTTTATATGTATGTGTGTGTATGTGTATATATACACATACATATATATATCAACAATATCTCGTACAGAAAAATGTAAAATCATATTTTAAAATATTAGAATATAAACAATGAAAAAAAGTAAATTTATTTATAACTTTTAAAAGAAACTTGTATTCTTTTATTTAATCCAATTATAATCTAGAAATCGACTGCAAATCCATTTCCGGGAATTAACTGCATACTTATCAAACTTTACTTGCAAAATATTATTGTTGCTGAATTTGTGTTATCTTTATTCTTCTGTCACGTAATGGTATATTGAGATAAATAAGTGCATAGTATATTTTAATCTAATCACAGAAGAGGTTATAAAAAAGATAGTTTTAATGCAACTTCAATCGTTTTCATGGCTAAATCAATCACCAACGAAAAATATTCACTTTTAGGATAAAATGAAAAATATATATGCATACTGATAAGTTTTATACATAGAGAATATTAAGCTATTATTTAACGTTCATGAAGACGTTTTTTAATGAAATATCGATAGAAAAATTAATCGGATAAGTAATTAGGAAAACTTAAATCACATTTATATAATTGTAATTGAAGTAATTTATGCACAACTTGATTCGCAGTACATAAGAATAATTTATTTGTTCTTTTCTTAATTACATAGCAAATACATCTACTGTTATTAACTATCAGTACATAAAGCTAAAACACTTTTGTACTATGTGCGTTATATATGAACCCAACAAATAACTTACTCACATGATTAAGCTATATGCTTCACTACTTGCAAATTCACTTATTACTACACTACTTACAAACGCGGTGAAGTGTATTACATGTATGTTACTATGTAATTTACATATTTTCAACTCTTCTCTTACCCTGCCCATTTAAATTACATTCCTAGAATATATCTCTAGTATATATTCTTGCGTTATGTACATACATATATATTTAACCGAGTTGTCTCTTGGTTCACTTAACTGTCAGAAAAGTTTATTAAGACTCTTATTTGAATTCTTTCTAATTCAAATTATAAAGCTAGACACATGTCGCGAATATTGATATATTCTTCAAATAAATTGATTCAATAATCATATAGGACTATATAATATGATATAAAAGAGCATACGAATAAGAGATATTTAGACATAATATGACAATAAAAGATTTTAAATGACATTTTTGGATTTTAAATGTTCGACAAGACGTGACTAAATTTGCAAATTGCAGAATACAGTAGAAGCTCCATTTTCGTGCGTTTTTTGTGTTAATAACTTATTTTCATTTATATTAGTTTCTAATTTACAAATTCGAAAATCGTTTATTCGCAAAAGAATTAAAACATTCGCAATAACGGAATAAAAAAAAATTTATGTTTAATGTTTTTACTTTAGCTAGTCCTAAGAATTATCTCTCTCTATAATTTTTTTAGCGTATTGGTCATCCAATATTGGACATCCAAGTAGATTCCGCCGAGGATTCCACATTTGGATGTCGTGATTACGCAAAGAAAAAATATAAGTACGCGGTAGTTTTACAGGACACGTAACTCCTGCGAATACGAAACTTTTACGTATTAGTAATATAACGCAAGTACGTTATGTCATATTCATGGATTATCGAGTTTTTACATAAGTCGAGTTACCACATGATTTGCATTATGATTCCGTGCAACACACCATAAAATAACGTAAATTCTCTATGCTTTCTCTTTTTTCAGTTGTACTAGAAAATAGATTCCAAATGCTCTAAATAACGCGAATGTTATATACATAAAGATAATCGCAAGGATATAGACATGTGTGTGAATACAAAATAAAAATAAGATTTTTTTCTAAATTCATAAAAACTGTTGTATAAAAATGCAGCTATTATATTTTTTTTATATCCGAGAATATGTTTCGCATCATTAATAAATTATATGAAATGATAATTTGACATTTGATAAGTGCGAAAGTTTGATGCCAAATATCGTTTTAATGGTTGCAAAGGAAAAGAATTTATGTTATAAAGAAAAAATCTATCGCATTATAAATATTCTATAATTATGTTTAAGTATTGGAGCTACAATCTCTTTTAATGTGTGAGTGTATGTGTGTATTTTTTATGACCACGCAATAACGATATAAAAATATAAATCTAAATCTCTAAATGCGCTTAAATATAAATCCATAGGGGCTTCATAGCTTAATATCTTTAAGTATTAAAACGCACTGATGTTTAGAGGGAACGAAATCGCGCGTATTTGATTTATAAATCATACAACACACATCCACAGACTTGAAATTTGAAGAACTCATTCAATTATTTTTTTCTCTTCTTTTAATTAGTAGATTAACAAACCTATTTAAATAATAGGGCGGTTAAATACTGAATATGAATTGGATTTACAATTAGTATACAATTTGCAGTTGATTGTAGTCACACGATATTTACATTGCGTATAGTAAATATCATTAAGAAAACGTAAACCTGATTCGTCATTGCGTCGAATTAACAGATTTCAAGCATCTTATCAATTATCTCAATCAGCTGCGCAATTATACAATAATCAGAATTCTAAAAATCTTATGCTTTCATACACACATATAAGAACGAAAATAATCTAGGACTAGAGATTCTGCAAAATAAGTACAAATAATAATAATAATAAGAAAACATGGCAAGATTCACATTCATGCTAATTTTTCATTTCGTTGGAATCTTTCAAGCTCCGAAAGTATGCACGCTGTTACATATGTACTGTTGAAGTATATTTCAACAATCGTAGTTGAGAATAATCGGAATTCGGTAAGTATAAAGATATAAATCTAATCACAGTTTTTTGATAAATTATATCTAATATAAAAAATTATTATCTTATAAATTTTTAAATTAAAATCTGTAGAAAGAAAAATTATTGTTTTATTCTAGACATCGGAAAGTGCACGAATTTTTCTAGTCACTCGATATTCCGAGAGAGTGTCATATAACAGATAACCGGAGAATACTTCCGAAGCAAAATGCAACACGTGTTCGGTACGAGAAATTCTTTTTTTGCCGGCGTTGCGCAACAGGAACCTGTTGCTGATGCTCTTGGTGACGAATATACCAGTCGTATAAATAAAGCATAAATCGGCAAGTTTTGTTCGGGGAATCGAAATGATTCCCGCATTGCATCGACGTGATGTAAAATTTCTACGAAAACATTATGTACAACAAGTATATGTATAATGTATACAGTTCTCCCGAATGTATTGATAAGAAAAATCAAGCAAGCGAAACCTGCCTGAGAAAATTGTAATTGGCAGCGATATGCAAAAAATTTGTAGTTCATCAAAGCCAACAAGAACTAGCGCTATCGACCAGTCGTTAAATCATGTTAGCTACAATACTAGCAGGATTAAGACAGTTCGGATTCTGACTATAGAGACTAAGAGAACTATGTACCTCGGCGAAAGAGAAACAAAAAATCTTATGATTCGAGTAATACTGGTTTAATGGCTCAGGCCGTAAACATGGTCGGTGGCATTGAGAGTATAAATTCCAAGGCCGTCAATACATATTGCCGGAGCGTAGACAAACAAAGCCGCTGATAAAATTTTTCCCGGTAAATTCTAATGAAATTTTTGGTCATTCTTAAAATATCATATTCAAATTAGGTCATAAAAACGATTAAAAGATCATCTTATATATCTTATATAGCTTCTAATATATTATAGTAAACGCAATTTCGGTCAAATCATCTATCATTAAAGTTGTAGTAAAAATAAAAATTATATGAAATAATATCAGATAGCAAAAATAAGTTAAAGAAATGCATTATCGCAATTAGCTGTCTTTTAAATTGAGGAAATAAATTCAATTAAATTACTTTTGTTTAGGCTATCAGCGAAGTATACGCAAAAAAATCAATTTAAATTATTTTCTTCCTTAATCTGAAATAAATTATTCAGCAGCAAAACTGAATGATGTTTTTTCAGTAATCGTTCATCAAGAGTTTGTAAATATTATATATGTGTGGTAAGCAAAGATCCACAATATAAGTCATCGTTACCAAAGTAGGATATCCTGGTGGATAGCTTCTTATCGGCTTTTGTTAATATTCAGAAATATTGTATCGTCAAAGTAAAGAATAAATACTAAGTCACGACGTCGCAATGATGGCGATAATGTTAATAACGCGATAACATGCCGATAATATTACAACATGACGCAATAATAACAACGCGAGACAAGCAGCGACAGCCTTAACAATTTTTGGTCCCTTCTTTTTAGACAATATCTATTGAAGAATTTGTTCCTAAATAATTTTATATATCTATTTCTTACATATCAACTTAAAACGATCTTGAGAAAGTCTCTTCTGTTAATCAAAGAATATATCTTCGAATAGATTCTTAAATTCTGAAAGTCGCCAAGTAAACGAGAATGAATAAAGAATGAACTTCAAAAAAAGTTTTTCGTGAAAATGAACCATGAATGTTATTCATCTAAATAAAAAAAAAAATATTTTTGAATTTAAATGGATTGAAACAATGCATTTAAATCCCAGTTACAATTAATATAATATAATTATATTATATTATATTCGTATTATGAAATAAAAAGTCCTTCACGGAGGCCAATCGATTACAGTCCACGAATTAAAAAATTTTAACATTTTAATCCTTTCCCGTTTACTGGGCTATTCTCTTTTCGAGATGTTTAAACGAGAGTCGACAATTCGTGCGGACTGTTGGTGGTAGCGGCACTACTCAGATCGAGCGTGGCCGCCGGCAGACCGGGGCTTACGCTGCCACTGGTTTCACGCGGCAAATGCTGCGACCTGTTGAGCTTGCCGCTGCCGCTGCCGCCGCCGCCGCCGCCGCCGTTGGGACTCGGCGGCGACCGGTCGCCGGGCGTCGTTGATGGTGTGGCGGTGACGGCGACAGCGGCAGCAGCGGCAGCGGCGGCGGCGGTGGCGGCGGCGGTGGCGATACCGCCGCGATGCGTCAGATGGTTGTGCTGCGACGCGGAATGCGGCGATGACAGTAATAACGGCGGCGACATGGAGGACACGTGCCGCTGCTGATGCGAATGATGCTGATGAGGATGATGCTGATAAGGATGATGAAGACCGCGACCAAGTTGGGCCAGACTGACGGTCGAATGGCCCATCGGACCGCCACCGCCGCTACCGATCTTCGCACCCATATGCAGCGTCGGCCGCAGTTGCAGCTGCTGATGGTGATGGTGGTGATGCTGCTGCTGATGGTGCTGTTGATGCTGCGAGTGTATCTGCTGATGCGGCTGCTGCTGTTGTAGTTGCAGTTGCTGCTGTTGACGTTGCAGCTGCGCCGCGACCTCGCATTGCTCGCGGGCAAACGCCTTTACCGCATTCGTCTTCTCCTGCGAGTCGTACAAGAGGGAAAATTATTCTACAGAATATTTGCTTTTTTTCTTTAAGTTTAATTTATTATAAATAAGGAAAAGGGAATTTAAATAGTATGCGATTTGGAAAAGGTGTTAATTGGCATGGAATTTCTGAGATCCGATGTATTTTTATTATGAGATAAAAATATAGACGTTAGAAGAATTAGAAAAATCTGTCGCAATGCTGGAAGCATTAACAGATGGAAGAAACGTAAAGTAAAAAAAATCCTCTTCGTGTAAATGTCAGTGATGACGTTTATCGCAAAAAGATATACAAAATCTTCCGCTTAATCACACAATTACGTAATGCGAATCGAAGTATCGTCCCAGGATCGCACGAACGTTAGGTAGTTATATTGCCATCGGTTCTTTTTCGCGGAGCAAAAACTCGTCCGTTCGCACCCACCGCCACTTGGCACATACACGCTTACACGTATATACGCACGACATCCTGCGTACAGATCCAGTTTGGAATCGAATTACACGGTAGAATGATCACCGACGTAAATAATAGCGTGATAATGACATCGACCGTTGCGGGATATGCTAATAAGGCACGGCGGGGAGAGAGAGATTAAGGGCGTAGAACCAGCGGAGAGGAGGAGGGAAGCGGGAGAAGAGAAGGAGATGCAGACCGGTGCATCGCTGGTCTCGGTGAAATACGAGAAAATAAAGAGGCGAACTGGCTACGACGGAGATCCGCATATCGTGATGATCGAAAAAATTCGCACGCCGTTAGGTCGTCGGACGAAGGGAGGAAGGCAGACGGCGAGGAAGGGCGGAAGATGGGCAGTGAAAAAAAAAATTGCACTTTCAGGCGCACTCACTTTCTGCCATACGAAGACGTTGTGGACCATGGCGCATCCGCAGAACACGATGCCGACGCCGATGAAGACCGACGTGACGATCGCCGGGGTCGAATGGAACTGGATGAACGTGTACAGAATCATGCCTGTGAATTACAACGAAATGCGGAATTAATATCGCGATGTTACGATGACAATGATGATATACGATAAGCATAAGGATATGAGTATATTAATTTTTTCAGAGTTCCGAGAGTTCGAGTCACTCACGTTGTGAGTGTTTATGTGGATCTTTTCAGACGCGAATTTCAAGCGCAATTCATGTAATTTGATAACTTGTAAAAAGAAACATTTTGTTCTTACCAGTTAAGAAGACAGGGATGCTAATGAAAAAACCTCCGACGGCGCACACGCGGCTGATGGACGATTTTTGCAGGTACTTGTTACTCCTGAAACACAAAAGTCGCAGAACGAAGAGATGAGTTTCGCGAGTCCGTGATAATTGGACGAGTTATAAAGGCGCACGTTTTCGTCGATTTATCGGCAATTAGGATTCGCGGAAACACTTCGCGCAACTCACGACCAGTTGAATCTCAATTCGCGCACATTCTCGAAGACGCAAGATGCATTCGGATATTTTGATTTTTTGGGGGGTTAACACGAAATACATCCTTTTTATAAATAACATTAAATGTACGTTCAAAATTTTACAAAACTATATAATTGTAAAAAAATTAAGTAAATTATTTTTATAAATAAATTATAACACATATATCGAGGAGTATTACATTATTATTATTTTAAATACGTACGTCGGTCCTTATGTATTCCCAATCTCTAAGAAATTCCCAACTGATTGAACGAAACGCAAATTTGTTGCGATCTTTTGTGTGCCGCAAAAAGCGTCAAGAGAGGCAACATGGGAATGCCTTTGGAGTACCTCGTCTTTCGAGTACAAAGGCCGTAAGTCAAAATATTCTGCTCCTCGGCAAATATTGCATAATCGCGAAAGTGCAGCGATACGATCGGTGCATAACGGTACATACTCTCTACAGATAACCCACGCTTTTTTTTCCTGTCTTCAGCCGCGTGCGGGCGAGACACCGCGTTTAAGCGCACTGAGCACTCCCATCGAAAGAGAGTCAGACGTGTCAAATGGATTTATAGTCCCGACGTAAACGCGGGACCAGTAGGCGTTTTTGTGGCGCAACTAATCTCTCATACGTCGGTGCCACGCTGTAGTTAGGCGTGCCCTCGCGTCGTAATCATCTTAAGTTCTCCATAAATAAAACGCCGGATACAATGTTCCTCCAGGCGTAATGATAAAGATTGTTATTTAAGGGCTTTCGGATTAGGTCCACACCGAATTAGGATTAGGTGCTTTCTCGATAATGCGGTCAAGCAAGGTTTAAATGAATTATTTGAAAGCCGATAATTGAATGTGATTGAAATCTATTAGAAATTTAATTCTTGAGAAATTCAATACCATTTTTTCCAGTGTAAATATAAGGGGAGAAATATTATTAAAAACTTCAAGTTGTACTATATTACGTGAGAATTTCTCTGCATACAAACTTGAAGTAGTACGTATTGTGTATTACATCTTTATACTTTCCATTCGTTTTCTAAAACATCTTCTTATAAAAAGAAGATGTCAAATACAAATGTAATTGAAATCATCTTCGCTAAACGTTAAATTATAGTTCTGAAAATTTATCGCAACGCGCGCGGTAGCTCACTCCCACTAAATAAATTACCACTGTACTAGAAGAGTCTCGAACAATAGTGGTTCTAATCGCTTCGCATGACCCGCTCGTGTATCCAAAGAGATCGTTGACCCCGAAGGGCGGCAGCAACGGCTGCGTGGGAATTCCTCATTGCACCTTATAGATGACGCTTATTTAGAAGCGGCACGCAGGCAAAGATTCGTGAACTTTGCGGAGAAACAAGTTCGGTACGAAAAGGATGCTCAGCGGATTGCCATCCATCTTGCTCTGTGCAAACGCGTGAGAAAAATTATATTAAAGCTGCGAAATACTTGGCGCCAAATGATTTTTATCAGCGAGCATTAGGTATCATTTAATCGTTTATAATTAGTTATTTTAGTTATTTCACCACTTTAATGTCACTAACACTACTATTTTCTCGTCATTTTTCGGTATTCTTTATTATTTTATCATTTCTCTTATTGTGTCTATGATCGACTTCATAATTTAATACTCGGCTATACGTCAAAGTTATACTGGTGAAATTCCAGCTTTAACCTTCGTCTGCAACGTTCTATATCTACAGATTTCATCTCTCAACTTCTCGGATTCGAATCACGAGTATCGTTCGCACTTATACATTCGTCATTCGTGCCTCTCCTCTTTTCTTTCGCGCACGGCGAAATTATACGATCCCGAACTGAATAGGCGCGGACGCTTTTGTCGGTCCCTCGTTGTGCTGTCGTTGTCGTCGCGCGTTTGTGCATCTCTCACTGGCCATGAATGAACATGCCGAACCAAAGGCAACGTGTCTTCGTGCTTAACGCGCGAGATCAACGGGGTTTTGTCGAGTGCCGATAGAAGCGAGTCATTCTGGAGCACCGAGAGTGACAAATCACGCGCCAACGGCTGCAACTTTTACCCGTTATATACCAGTCGAGCAGACAAACGGAGACTTTTCTCTTTCATCGGAATGTTGGAGGAATAGTAATCTTGTGATGTAACATTTTTAATTTCGTGATTAGTTCGTAGTGTAAATATTGTTACAGATATACAATAAATTTATGATTATTTTATAATCTGACATTTTATAATTTAATCGTTTCCATTAAGTGATGAGATATTTTTGGAAGCGTCAAAATTAATTTGAAAAGTAAATTACATATATATATATATTCCAGAGAAGCAGTTAAGAAATGGCATTACAAGATACCGTGAATTGTTAAGGAATTTCGCCTGACATAAGTTGAATGCCTAAGAACTCTAATTTTCTTATTTGCAAGAGCAAAAGAGCAAGACATACATATGTATTTTCGCGCGTGCTAACTGTTAAGTGGCATTGTTAAAGCACAAGACAACGAGTACAAGATTATACATTCCTGGCATCTACTTTTACATAATGGAGATCTTTCGCACGAAAGCAGAAAGAAATGCCGCGACCGTTTGCTTGTCCCGTATAGTCTCTATATCGAGAGCTGCAATAATTATCCTAGAATTTACAATAGTAACCGAACCGTATTATTAAAAAATCCCGCATATAACGGTCGAGAAAAATTCCCATCTAGCCGTCGCGTGCGAAATACACTCCGTTTCTTTAGGCTGCTATAGCTCTTCTTCTTCTTCTTTAAATTTCCTCACACCAAACCGCTACGTCTATTTGACCATATTCGAGTATTATATTGTGTTCAATGAGATCAAGGCCAGAGGGTGGAGGCAAATAAATTGTTCTTACGCGTAGTTGAGTCACCCTTGCCCTCAATTTCTTTCATCGAGAACCTTCCATCTTTGACAATTAGCGCTTCCTCTTGGGATCAATCGCATACATCATTTCCGGAAAATCGGAATTCGCTCGAGCGTGCGCGAATCGTCGGAAACATTGACCCGACATTCACCACCGGACCGAAATATCCGCTTGATATATTTATAAAGCAGTGAGGTTTGTTAATCAAACCGCGACCGCCGCGCGGAGAGTCAGCGACCGAGGCAACACGACGCAGCTTTAAATGACTGCGCGGAAAATCACGCGCGTCTCCGCGTCCACGTGTGCGTCCGCTACATTCATTGCCAGAGCTAAACAAGTCGGAGAATGTCGTTCTAGAGTGGGAATCTCGCTCTCCGCTTCGCTTCGAGGAGATGATTCTCGCAGTCAGTCGCGATGAATACGATGCTCTATTGATAACGACACAAAGAGAGATTTGCTTCTAACGCTGGAATCTAATTTCAACAAATTTTAGACGACTCCACCAACATACATTTCTGCAATTGTTTAAACCCTCAGTTTATTTGTTGCAGAATTATCACAGAAAGAGAAACAAACTAGCAATTTATTAAACGAACGAACTTGCTTCAGTAAGCTTGGATGGCATTGATTTAAACCAAATTCCATTTCTTTTCGGTTTGTAAAAAAAAAAGCCTCGACACATTTGTCTATATTCATCTATAAATTCACTCGTAATCATTCATTCATTCTTGTTAATTTGGTTAGATTCATTTCGAGGTATAAAAACAAATGAAACACGATGAACACGACGAATCTCATGTACTGCGAAGTTATTTTCCGGAAACGTTTTTGTTCGATTAGAGTTCTCGTAGCGCCCCGAGGAATAGATGCGTCGAAGCTATCCGCGTCAGTCTAGTTTCTCGTGGAATCAGAGGCGAGCCATCCTCCGTGGGACGATCGTCTCTTCAAGTGAACCAAGCGCCTTCACGCGCGCCACGCGTGTATGCGTGCGAAGCTCGCCGTTACAGGAAGAGGCGCGTGTAATCTGTTGCGAAACGGTTAAAGCTGTGGAGCGCGATGCTACGAGAGCGAAACACCCAATCGGAGCCCGATACGCGTTCGTGCGCGTATTCCATGGGACGACACGATCCAACGTACACACGTGCACGCAAGCGTGTCGCGATGATCGGGCCCTTCCTCGTTGTCTTTATACGGTTCGCGGCTGTTCCAGCCGCACCGTGCACTTCCGGTCTCTCTCTCTCTCTCTCTCTCTAGGAAGTCGCGCGCGGAAACCGTCAGAGCTATATAACCGTGTGCCGTTACACGTTTACAATCTCCGCGAACGAGATGACATCGTGCCCGGATTCGCGCACTGTAATTATGCAGCCGTTTTAGTGCGTGTCTCATGAAAATCGCGATACCGTAATGCATACGGTTGCACGAAGCTGCGTCTAGGCGGCACGCAAAAGCATTTAAAGAAACGTTTCTTTCGATCATTCCCTCGCGGATATCTCCCTTTTTCATTCTAATCAAATCCCTCTAGAACGTGAAAAATACCACGCACCATTTGCCAATACTGAAACGATAGAGAAATTTTAAGTAACTTTTACCAATCGATTACGAATGCAAAACTCGCTCTAACGTAACAATAAGTAGATCTCGAACGGTCGTGGCGGATCATCGGCCGTGCGGTTACATCCGCATAGCTTCGCGGCATCGGCATTCGCCGTGGTCGCGGATGCGAGCGGTTACCGGATGATGGATCATACGCTGATCACACGGCTCCGCCGCGGATGATGGATCATACGCGCGCGCTCGCTTTACAGCCGCGATCATTCCTCCCTCCGTTCCCATCCGTCCTTCCTCCCTCTCCTCTCACGATCCGCGCTTGCTCCTTCTTGCATCCTCTTGCCGACAGGTGTCCGTAATCCGTGTCGCGGTCGAAAAAAAGTTTACCAAAGGCGTCCCAACGTGCCCGCGCGGAATTTCCTATCTCACCGGTGCCGGCCCGATACCGGGAAGA